ACTCTAGACGCGTTTTGTGCTGCAGAGTCGCTAAATGGGACTTGAACCGAACGTATGACCCCACCAATGGACTCCTCATTCGGAGTGAAATCCATTGGTGGGGTCACACGTTCGGTTCGAGTCCCATTTAGCGACTCTGGAGCTCGAAACGCGTTCGGGATTTTGACCGCCTCCACGGTCTTCTGGCCCACTGTGAAAGGGCCGACGGGCCGAAGGGCGGTGCGCGTGGTCGGGCCGGGCCGCGCCCCGAGGCCACGGCAAGGCCCTCGCCGTCCTCGCCGTCCTCGCCGTCCTCGCCGTCCTCGCCGTGTCGAGTTGGCGCCGCCAAGTGAATCGCATTGAACTGCGCGCGTCCCGCCCTCGGAATCCCGGAACCCAATCACCGCGGGATGGGGCGGCGGATTGCACGTCGTTATCCCGCGACGCCTCGACGCTCCGCGGCGGTGGCGGTGGCGGTGGCGGCGCGCTGGTGTCCGCGTCAAGTTCGCTACCCGGCAGGGAAGCCCCGTCCCCCGTGAGCTGCCCGGGGTGGCGCGGCGTGGCGTCGGCCGGGGTGTGCTTCGCCGTGCTTCGCCGTGCTTGGCGGGTCCAAGGCCCGCGGGCTGCGATGGCCGAGTGGCCGTCAAGGCCGCCGTCAAGGTCGCGGTGACCGGGGCCGGGCTTAAACTGTCCGGAAATATAGATGGTCCCAGCTTAGCGCCGGCCCCCCGGTCCCCAGCGTCGCCCCAAGCGCTGGCGCCGGGCCAGGGCCAGGCTGCAGCAGCGCCCCGGCAGACGACTGATTCCGCGCACGGCGTGTCGTCCCTCTCACAACCACACGGGACGCCACCTGAGCGCGAGAGAGACAGAGAGAGCCCGCGCCAGCGCTCATTGTCCCCCAATCTTTAACAACGGCCGCCAATTAATATCGTGCAGGCCGGGCAGGTAGGCCGGCAGGCAGGCCTTCGCCTTCGCCTTCGCCTCCACCTTCCTTCCTTCCTCCCCTTCGGAGCGCGCAGCGCGCATAAACTCAGCATTAATTCCCCGTCGTTATGTTGCACAGACAGTTCTCGTCCGGCGCCTCAAATTGCGGCCCGCGATATAGAGAATGCTAATTTAAACCACACACGGCTGCGTCTTTCTGTGCGTGTGTGCGCGCGCGCGCGCGCGTGTGTGTGTGAAAGAGATGGAGGGGGGGGGGCGCCAGGCACGCTGCAAGCGCGAGGCCCCTGCGTGTCCGCGTGTGCCGTGTGTCTGTGTAGGTGTGAGCGCGACTGTGATACACACACACACACACTCACTCACACGGATGACACGGCCGCATAGCACACCCGCATTGTACTTGACAGTTGCAAAAACATATCCGCACGCCTAGTTTGTTAACCCGGTGGCGAGGCGCGGCAGCCGATGGCAGCCAACGACAGCCCAGCCCGCGCCGAGCGGCAATAGCGCGGCGCGGAGGCCGACCGAGTGTTACAATACAACACAACTCGCACAGCAGGCCGACTCCGAAGCGGTGCTCCGACTCTCTCGCACTCACGGCGCACAGTGGGCCAGAAGACCGGTGGAGGTGGCCAAAACTCTAGACGCGTTTTGAGCTCCAGAGTCGGTACACAGGATTCGAACCGAACATTTGACCCCACCAATGGATTGCTCTCCGAACGAGGAATCCATTGGTGGGGTCACATATTCGGTTCGAGTCCTGTGTAGCGACTCAGCAGCTCAAAACGCGTCTAGAGTTTTGGCCGCCTCCACTGGTCTTCTGGCCCACCGTGTGGCGCTCCCGCAGGCCGCAGCGGTGCGAGAGAGACGGCCTTTCGGAATCACGCTGCCGGCAACTTTTACACACTCGTTTCAAGGATCGGGACCACGGACCGCGGCGGCACGGCTGGCGGCGCGCGTTGGCGGCGGCGTGCGAATGGAAAAAGGGCAAAAAGGACTCGGTCTCTGCACTGCTCGCGTCTCGTCTCGTCTCGCCCGTCTCGCGTGCTGGGTTATCACACCTACCGCCACCAGCGCCAGGCCAGCCGGGCCGGCCGGCCAGGCCAGCCAGGCCAGCCAGGCACTGGGGCATCTAGTCGTGCTGCTGGAGGTGGCCAGGCAAGCGGCACAGCGGGGTGGGGCGGGGCGGGGCGGGGCGCTCACCTCACGTGAGCACGCTTGTCAAACCTGTTGCCGATGCTGATGACCCGGCCAACTCAAAAATAAGAAAAATTGGCCGCGGAGCTGCGAAGCCGCTGCAGCAGACTGCGAGTCGTTTTCGTCTCTCTCGCACTACGGGGCGTCCCGTACGGGTGCGAGAGAGACAGAGCGAGACTCCCAGTCTGCAGCGGCCGCGAAGGACTGTCGGACTGCCTCGGCGGACGCGGCGCGCACGTAGCGACGGAATGACCGCAGGAAACGAAAAACAAGGGGAAAAAAAGAAAGAAAAGTGGAGGGAAATATGAAAGGACGACGGACGGCGCGGCAGCGTGCATGCGAGGAAATCGGGAGAAAGATGGTAGGGCCAGGCCGTTCCCAAGAACAGGGCCCACTCGGCGAGCCGCACTGCCGCACTCGCGCGGGAATACTGAAAGAAAATGAGTTTTTGGGAAAATAATAAAATTATAAAATAATAATGAGAGAAATGGCCGGGCATTACCGGCCTGCTGGCCAACAAGGCGGCGGGGCACGCGGGCTCCGAGTTGAACCGGTCCAAAATAAGCCATCCAGCCTTGCCGGAGTCGCGGAGCCGCGACGCTGCACAGTGGGCCAGAAGACCGGTGGAGCGGCCAAAACTCTAGACGCGTTTGGAGCTCCAGAGTCGCTGAACAGGACTCGAACCGAACGGTGTGACCCCACCAATGGATTCCTCGTTCGGAGAGCAATCCATTGGTGGAGTCACACGTTCGGTTCGAGTCCCATTTAGCGAGTCTGCAGCCCAAAACGCGTCTAGAGCTTTGGCCGTCTCCACCGGTCTTCTGGCCCACTGTGCGCTGACCGAACCCCGCGTCGAGCCGATTTCGTCCTGGTCGCGGCGGCCGCACTGCTGGCGCCATTCTCGCGTCCGAAATGGAGAGGACAGAAAAACCGGGAGTCATTTGGTCGAATTGAAACAAGTAGTGGGTAACTCGCGGGCGAGTCTTGTGCCGCCGGCTCTCGTGACAGGTCTGCGAGTTGGGAGTTGGTGGTGGTGGGTGGTGGTGGTGGTGGTGGTGGGGGGGGGGGGGGGGGTAAGGTCACATGGAAGATAGGTCGGCGCAACCGAGATGCATGCTGGGAGACCGGGCAACTAATCCCTCCCTTAGGGGGGAGGGGGCGGGAGGACTGGAGCTTGAACCGCCAAGGCCAGGGGTGGATGAAAATATGGCACCCCTCACGTCAACTTTTCCATTGCCTCTCCGCGGCGCTCCGCTTTCATCAAGCCTCTCGCATTCTCTCCCAAATACCATTATCATATTGTTTTAATTCGCGCAGTTGAGATCAGGGCACCTCTCAGAAATCGCTTCCCGTGCATTTTTTTTCTGACTCACTGTCCTGAAGGTGAAGCCAAATTCATTTTTGGTCCTTATAACAAACAAGTCATAAGGTTCTAGTCAAAACGATGTCACTGGGGAAAATCCACAGTTTTCTTTTGTTGATTTAAATTGGCATATTTACAGCGTTCTCATTGCTTCATCGCGCGCATCGCTCGTGGCGGCGGCAAGCGGCAGCAAGCGGCAGCAAGCGGCAGCGGGGCCTGTCTCTGCACGCGGCAGCAAGCGGCACGCAGCCCACTTCACACAGCGCGCAGTCGACCGACAAGCAGCAAAGGGCTCATCTCGATGGACTGGAAACGACAGGCTGGCGCAGCGGGCGAACTGGGATAAGTGCGCCACGACCGAATTGCCCGCCTCATTGTCGAAGCATCCACCGCACAGTGGGCCGGAAGACCGGCGCCGGCGGCCAAAACTCTGGACGCGTTTTGAGCTCCAGAGTCGCTAAGCAGGACTCGAACCGAACGAGTGACCCCACCAATGGATTCCTCGTTCGGAGAGCAATCCATTGGTGGGGCCACCGAGGGTGTCACGTTCAGTTCGAGTCCCATTTAGCGACTCTGTAGCTCGCAGAACGCGTCAGGAATTTCGACCGCCTCCACCGGTCTTCTGGCCCACTTTGTACCGACGTGTGTTAATAGCAGTTGCTTGATTTTACATCATAGAAAATTTCATAAGATATATCGCCAAAAGTCACTTGTAAAGCCAGGGAAGTGATTCCCCACGGTGGATGGCGTTTGTTGCGATCGATTGGGTTGCCAAAGGCACCAATAAAAGAACCGGCCAACTGGAAGGGCTGCCGCCCCCGCACTGCTGCTCCGCCCCCGGCAACAAGTATCGCTGGAAGCGCTCCGAACCGCGGGTGGCCAAAACACTAGACGTGTTTTGAGCTCCAGTGTAGCTATTCCTCTTTCGGAGAGCAATCCATTGGTGGGGTCACACGTTCGGTTCGAGCCCCATTTAGCGACTCTGGAGCTCAAATCGCGTCTAAGGTTTTGGCCGCCTCCACCGGTCTTCTGGCCCACTGTGCGCCACGTCCGCCGCACCGGATCACCCACTCCTCCGCGCTTCAAAACAATCGTAAACGAATTTGTACAGGTCAACGGCTGTTCGCAACGTTCGCAAGGACGGGGGCCCTCGTCCGATTCGGGTTGCACCAACGAACTTGAGAGACAATTAGACTTGCAAATCCGCCTCGAAAATCGCGTCTGGGAGATGACGCGTGAAGGGGTGAACTACTCCTCCACTGCCTTCATCCCCAGGTTGTCTGGGAGGTGAATCGAAGAGAGGGGGAGATAGAGGGGGGAGAGAGACCAGAGCCACAGGCCGGTAGGTGCAAATGCCACTCGTGACTCGAGTTGTTTGATGGACCGGTGGGTGAAGTTTGACCACCCCGCCGTCAAATATCTCGCGAATGGAAATGTGGACTGGGAGACGCAACGAAAGCAATAAACCGACGGGGCGGCCCACGAGAGCGAGAGAGACAGCGAGTAGTCGAGTACCAACCTGAGGGAAGTCCTGTCCGAGCGAGAGCTTCTCGGAGCCATAGCCCAGGGAGCCTTCCTCTTGCACACAGTCACTGCACTGCACTCACACAGACACCACTGACACGGCACACACACTCACGCCCCGAAACTTGGAACCACATTAATGATGATCACCTCTGACACTTTCACGAGCGCACACACACACACACTGACACACTACACGTTTAGAGAGCGCGGGATGCGGCGCGCGTGCGTGCGGCCTCTGCACGGCGACTGGGACTGGCGTGTGCCGCGCTGCGCGTGCGGCACGGTGGACGCACCGGGCGTACCGGGCGTACCGGGCGGGCGTACCGCGGCGTGGCGTGGCGGCCGACTAGCCGACTGGTGCGGCGATGCCCCTTCCCTCCCAAGCGGTGCGCGTCGGGGGGCGTCTGGCCCGACACTGAACTCAACACCGGCGGCACAGCGCCGGGCAGCCCAGGGCAGCCACGAGGCGGCGCAACGCGCAGCGGCGGCAGCGGCCTCGGAGAGCGGCGGGGCCCTCCACACTCCACACGCAGCGGCCCGGCACCGCCTGCCTCTCTCGCACTCACGGGGCGCACCGTGCGGGAGTGCGGGTGCGAGAGAGACAGAGCGACGAAACGGACCTCCGGACTCCGGAACAGCAGTCCGAAACGCGAAACGCGCTGCCGGGCCACCATGATTGCGAAGCGGCCAGCTAATCCCTCTCCCTCACTCTCGCCACCACACACTTTCCATATGTCTCTCACGCACTCACACTCACACACACACACACACACATACACACACACACACACACACACACACACACGTGTATGTCCTCATCCCCCTCCACAAAAATAATTGCAGGGCCGGAAAAGTTAGTTCATGAGTGAAAAGCCACACGCTGCCCCTGCAAGCAGCCAAAAAGATGGGCCGCTGTGCCCCCTTGAGACCACCACTGGATCCGCCCTTGCATTCAAAGCAGGTGAAACAGGCGCGGATCGGTGCACGTGGCTCCACGGAAAATCCTTGGCGCTTGCCTAGTCAGCAGCCTCGCTCATCACGGCATCACGGCGTGTCTAGTCGGAAAGACGCTATCTCGCGCCATCAAAAGTTGCCGAGACTCGAAACCGCGTTCCGGTGCTGGCCGCCACCCCGCCACCCCGCCACCCGCAGCGATGCGACAGCCGCGAGCGTAGAGGCGCCGACCCCGAACCCTCAGGACCGGCGTTCGAATCCCTACATTGAGTCAGATATTGGCAACATGAATGATGTGTTTTTCGGGAGGTGACAACTTCCCGCCGCCGCAGACGCTGTCTTGTCTTCCGTTCGCAGCGGCGTGCCCGCCCAGCCGTGCCGTGTTGGGCTTGCGGCTGAGCTGCTTGACGCCTGCGAGCTGCGCGCCGCGCGCTGCGAGGGCACAGATAGCCTGCCGGCAAGACGGGGCACTCGGTGGCGTGGGGCCGCGCGGCGCCGCCTGCCCGCGTTTTGACGGGCGTCGGCTCGGGGTGGCTGGCTGCACAGTGCTTTCGTCGGCCTGTCTCTCTCGCACCCTTACGGGACGCCCCATGAGTGCGAGTGAGAAGGACCTCCCTTTGGTCGTCGGCAAGGGGCGTTGACTCTCGACCCGCGCAAGGAGCCTCGTGAGTCTCGTGGAGTGATTGAGACGACGCCGTGGCAGGCCATGCTGTGCCAGGCCGTGAACTGGAAGTGCTGAAAAGTGCCGATAGCAGCTCAGGGGTCGTGGCCTCCGTGTTCTTCAAAGCCCCGAAAAGCCGCGCCCCACCAGCGCCCCACCCGGCCCCACCAGGGCCCCGGCCGGTTCCGAACAGGCTTTTGCCGCTCTCTCTCTCTCTCTCTCTCTCTCTCTCTCTCTCTCTCTCTCTCTCTCTCTCTCTCTCTCTCTCTCTCGCACCCTTGCAGCCTTGCTGGGCGCCCCGTGAGTGCGAGAGAGACAGCGCGACGAAAGCACTGTTCGGCATCGTGCAGTCTCCGATTCCTCCCTCTCCTCCCAAGGGCGGCCTGCCCTGGTCCGCCCCCTATAAAGGGAGCTCTCTTCAATCGTGCTGTCCGGTGCTCTGCAAATTCCAGTCCACATATCGTTTGTAATATCCCCTTTGGCCTGGGCCAGACCGGCCGGCCAGGCCGAGGACCCCACCTATGGATTGCTCTCCGAACGAGGAATCCATTGGTTTGGTCATACGTTCTGTTGGAGTCCTGTTTAGCAACTCTGGATCTCAACGCGCGTCGAGAGTTTTTGCCGCCTCCACAGGTCTTCTGGCCCACTGTGGGCAGGTCGGGTCTGGCGGCGAAAGGAACACGGGGCGCGGAATTCGGAATAGAGCGGACTTGGCGAGGGCCGAGGCCGGAAAGAAAAGAATGGGGGATCCAAAACTGTGGTTGTTTCTTTCGTCGTGACTTCCACTTAGTAGGGCGCGAAGCGAATTCGAATGAGCAGCGAGCCGGCCAAATTAGGCTTCCAGTGCAGGGAGCAGGCAGCGCCTCGCGACCGCTTGCCGAGCTCAGGGCCAATCCCGGAGTCTTTCGCGGTTTCTCAAAGTTATCGCCGCGTCCGCGTTCGCAAGGCGTTCGCCTTCTTCGCGCCCGCGCCGCCAAAAGCCGAAACTTTCCATCCTCCACCCCGGCGGCCCGCCCTGCAGACTGATTCCGAAGCCGTTTTCGTTGCTCTGTCTCTCTCGCACTCTCGGGGCGTCGCGTACCGGTGCGAGAGAGACAGAGCGACGAAAACGGCGCTCGGAATCGGTCTGCTGGGACTGGGACGTCCCCCACGCAGGGCAGGACGAGCCGTCCCCAATCGGAGTGCGGGATGGGGGTGGAAAGGAGAGGGGAACGGGTTCATCAACAACTTCCAATTTTTAGCCAAGGACAGCTGACTTATTCTTTAATATACATGTACACAATTAATACATCTCTGGTTGATTCGCAACACAGAGCGTGTGCATAAGTAAGTTACCAGCAGAGGGTTTCAACACGCTTGACAAGACAAAGAAGAGGAGTATTAAATAAAATTTCAGTCAAAGCACAACTTTTTACAACAACATAAAAAGCACTCATGTCAAATAAAAGAAGAATTCAACTGATGCTAACATAAACCAAGGGTTTCCTAATCATGAAAGTCATTTGGTAGTTGGTGGATGACACGACTAGCAAAAACATGAACAAAACCTGTTCATTTTGGGCTCAACAAATACTGGATACACTTCAGACTCAATTATTGTAAACATAATGTTTTCAAATAAGAATATGAAACAAGATTTTAAAAAAAAGACTATCTAATTTAAATCTACCAGGTATGACCACTCAGAGAATTTAAGGAAGGCAATTTAAAAGAAAGTATAAATGGCTGCATAAATGATTTGATTATCCAATAAAAAAAGAGTTAAAACTAATGAATTAGAAATGGGAAAATTTTCACTTAGTAGCATGAAAGCAAGTAATGCAGCAGTCTCCAAAAAGTGAACCAGTTTTAACTAATGTTGCTGCACTACCATCTAAATTGAGTATAAAACACAAGCTCTGTGTGCTCCGTGAAGTATACTACAGCAATGGAGTGGAAGTGAAAACATATAGTACAACAGTCGGGTGACGACTCCCCAGCAATAACTTCTAAAAAGGTAACACAGAGCCATTCTGTCCTCGAAGAAGATAAATGTCTATCAATTCACAACATTCGTATGAAAGTGGTAGAGTATGTTTTCTTCTTGTGGGACAGTACAAGCCAATAATTAAACTTACCAAAGAGATAAAACAGTGAATGCAACCCAATGAAGACATATACTAGCATGGGTTTGTTTGCACTAAAATACCACATATTAACAGGTACATATCATTAAAGAATACATCTAGGCAGCATATTATAATGAAGTCTGCGAACAAATTTGTGCAAAAATTCAATGGTGTAGAAAGCGGTATCTGACATTGATCTTCACTAAAGACATCATGAAAGCGCATGCGCAACACAAGTATATGAATAACAGTACATAAATGTAGTTAAGGAGAGTACCAATAAAATTAGTCTTAAAGCACTATCACAAAGCAGCCACTTCTCCTGATCAGCAGTTACAACAACTGTCATATCTGATTTAATATGGACAGTAAGATAACTCATAATAACTGTACAGAATAATTTAATAATTATCTATACAAAGTGGTTCAATTTCCTGCAGCTTTGGTCAACACTCAGCCTACAAAAATATTTTGAAAGGCTTTGACTAAACCATACTTTTTCAGCCCAGAGTACTCTTGATGATTAAAATACACTAATAATAAAATACCCTAGATTAGTTCGAGTTACATTTAGAATAATGTTTACCTTTAAGGGTATGTACAGAGCGGACACAAAGTTTACACTGAAGACAAGAGTAATGACATGCCAAAAGTCTTACGAAAAAGAGGAAATTTGTAAGTGAAACATGTTGAGGGCTTCACAAATGTCGTGATGCAAATTTTAAATACAGCCAAAATACATAGCTAACATCATGTGAGTTGTATAAATAATCATCATAGCTAATATAACATGATACAAGTTTACATGGATATGAATCCAGTCGAAATGCTTGGCATAAAATAGTTCAAGGTACTTAAATTGTAATTTTAGAAATTGAAGGAATACTTAATTTTCACAGTGAAGACTTAATAAATCTGATAAACTTCTGACAAGTACAATTGACAAATTCCTTGATTAGTAAGGTAACAAATTTTCAAGCCAAAAACATCTATTTGACCTCAAATTGAAATAATTTTAAAAGTTCATTCATATATAACAAGAGGTCTCAAATAGAAGATTAACTATTCTATTTAAGAAGATGGATACCAAGCAGGCCAGAGGCAACTTTACAAACAACTTATTTACCATATTATGCATTCACAGTAATAAAAATAATAACAATAACAGTAATAATAAAAATGTAGTGATAGTAATAATAATGTGCATCATACAAACAGAGCCCCCTGTAATTGAACAAAGTCAACGCGCACAGCGAAAATAATTTATTGTGAACATCACATACACACAACACAATTACATTTAATTGTGCTAGCTAGCCTGCAAGGCTAGCAGAAACAGAAATTGTTGTTCATGTATTGTTGCCGGCACAAAGCCCATTATAATCAAGCTGACCCATCAGTGGATGCGGTCAGTAAGGATCAATAGAGTCAATGCTCGAAGTATGGAATGTTGCAGATACAGTTGCAAGGCGGAGTTTGTTCTCATGAGGATAAAGGAACCATTCTTGTAGGAGTGGTTGGCTTCAGGTCCATTGTCTGGCATACCCAACTTGCAATTTCAACTCTCTCTTGGTCTGCCTTTTTGATCCACTCATGGTTCTAAAACAAGAAAACAAAACAAGAATTACCCCAAGTAATAAGGTGAAACTTTGTAAACAAACAAGTATTGGACCTGTACCATGAGAGATTTGAGATCTGCTCGTTCCTCTGGGTTCTTTTTGAGACAGCGTTCGACAAAGTCTTTGAAAGCATCAGAAAACAGTCCTGCTGGGAGCTTAGGAGGCGGCTCATTCACAATGTAGTCTAATAACTCAAATATTGCCATCGGTCTAGGACCATTGCTAGAGCTACTGCCACTACCTGTGAAACATAAAATGCAGGTATTACAGTAAGACAGACAAGAAACCAGTTCAGCTTAAACAAATTTGTACTCACTGTTGTTATTAGGTGGGGTTCCTGCAATTTCTTCTATATTACCACTGACTGTCCCAAATATGGCAGCAAGTGTTTTAGCATCAGCAGGTGGAATAGGGTACATTCCAATGGCCATTTCAACCAATGATAAGCCAAGAGACCAAATGTCAGACTGGACTGAATAATGAGTTCCCTGCAATCGTTCCGGCTGTAAAAAGATGAGAAAAAATAAATATAGGGTAATATATTCTAAATAAGACATTATATTCACACTATGAGTCAAAGGAAACTGGAAAACTTACCGCCATATAACTTCTTGTGCCAACAAAGGAATTTGCCATTGAGTCAATGAGTTGACCAGAAACACCAAAATCACATATCTTGATTTCTCCAGCGCTATTGACAAGAATGTTGCTAGGCTTAACATCTCTATGCATTATAGCATGCTTGTCCCGTAAATAGCTTAGGCCCTTCAAAACCTGTCATAACAATAAAAATTTAAGTGAAAAGAATCTTGATGTGCACACCAGAAAATGTGAACAAGAAGTTTGAACCAATCATCTTATATGCCTACCGCTAAGGTAATACTGCCAAGTATGGGTTCAGGTATGCGGCCAGCTTTCTTCAAGATAAGATCAAGAGAGCCACCATCCATGTACTCCATGCAAATGCTTATCTCTCCATCACTGTAACAAACATTGATTACAGACATAAGAAGAGGGGAAAATTATGAGAAAAAGACAAAAGAAATCTTCAAGAACTGAAAACGAGTACTAACTAATAACATCTCTTACCTGTAAAATGCTCCATAGAACCCTACAATATGAGGAAAATTGCATTGATGGAGAACTTTCAACTCTCTGATAATTTGCTTCTTGATGGCTGGCTTTACTTCAAGATGAATTAACTGTGGCAAGTGAAACAGGGGATTTAAAAAAAGAACTCAAAACATCAAAGGGAAGGATCTAATTGCTTTGCGCAAACGCTCACCTTTCTTGCCATGATATAACCACTCTTTTTATGCCTGACTTTCATGACAACTCCACCATTTCCGGCACCCAGTTCCCCTAATTTTTCCAGGTCATCATCTGTGAGCTCACCAATAGTGGACTTTTGGCATAGGAAATTTTCTAAACGTTTTTTCTCAGTGTCATTCATATTGAGCTCTTCAATGCGCTCTTGTATATTATCAATCGAAGATTGACCAGAGCTGGAAAAAAACAAAAACAAAATAAAAATTCCATGAACGAAAATACCTTTAAAGGCAGGAGAAAACAATGGAGGGAAAGGAATGATTGACTTCAGTTCACTTGTAATCATGGGTATCTTAACCTCGGTGGATTTCTTAGAATAAAAACCATAACAAATGAGGGTTTTAAGTGCCATACTAATTCTCAAAAACATGAAAACAACTGGTTTGAGAGGAGAAGAAAAACAAAATTGATGCTTTTTGATTGAGCCATGTCTAGAGAAGAGTTTTTGTAACTATTCAGATAATGAACCAACAGGTACGTGAGTTCTTTATTTTGACACCATTTCAAATATAATCCACTCACTCGTTTTCAGACTGCGGAGTTAGAGCCAAGGGTTCCAAAGAACCAGGACGCAACGTTAAATTAAGTTTATTCTTCGACATTTCGATAATAAACACTTCTTTCAAAGATGAGGTTATCAAGAATCTGCAGACGCTAGTTTTGACTCCGTACCAAACTCTGTACAAGAGGGCCCAGGTCAGATTCCTGTGCGAGGCTAGGATGCCAGTATCGAATACGAATATGAATGAAAGACCCTAAAGCAGAAAAGCGTCGATCCTGTATGAGAAATCAGGTTTTTCTTCTGCTTATTCTGGAACTCCGGCACAACGCAATAACTAGATTTGTGAGCAAGTGTTAATATTTTGACCCTTCTTGACCGTGGTCAAGATGTTCGATCAATGGCAATGGCACATTCCGTGGACCAACCTACCATGAACCTACAACTTAACTCCCCCCCCCCAATCCCTGCATATTTCCTGGAACTTCCCCTCGATTTCATGCCAAGCAAAAAAGTCACCAAATTATTCATGTTCAGTATAACCTTATTCTGAGCATTCAAATGGCCACTAAAAGATCCCTCATATAATGGTTTGAGTTGCTGATATTTCAGAAAGAGGAGGGGTATGCGATGTGGTTTGTGTGTGGAATTATTATACTTCACCTCACTCCCCGTGGAACATCTTTGTTGTGTGTTTGAAATTTAGTGAGGAAACAATGGCAAACATCTCAACAATTATTTATAAAAAATTATATTAAAAACAGCCATTATAGTACACTATCTATCAAAGTACTTCCATTCATAACTGAGGTACTAGCAACAATTATTCTAGTTCCAGTTAACTTTTCTAGAAGTTGGAAAGCTGCAACCTCTGCATAAGTCACTCCACCAATAAAATACACAATAAATGACCGAGGTAAAAAGTCAATTGACGGTTTCGAGGGAGTTACCGATGATCCAGGAATGAGTTGATTCACAATATCTTCAAAGCTGACTTCCTTTTTAATCAGCAGCTGAACCAATTGACATGCTATAGGAATGTAAGCGCCTCCATACACATAACTCATGTCTGTGGGTTGTTTTAGATTAATATCTTCTCTATTTGCCGAAAATAATTTTAACTTCTGGCGTAGAACCTGCAGAGTAGATGAAACCCATTTTACGGCTCTATTTTGAGAGACAACACAGAACACTCTGAAAAATTTGAAGGGTGAAGTGTACCTGGAATGATGATCTCTTGGGAAGAGAAACAACCTGTGCAACTTTATTTGCCAGCCTCCCAGTGGCATCACTCACTGGACCAGTAACCAATCCAGAGCCTAGACCAGCACTGGAGGTTGTCAGAAGTCCTAGATTTTCAAGGTTGTGAAGGCCTGGGAGAAGATGATACCCATATGCATGTAGAAATTGTGTTTTCAAAGACCAGGCATCCTCAGAGAATAATCCATCCTGTAAAAAAAGTTTGTTTCCATATAATTAGGCATCTTCCGGAAAACAAAGCATAATCAAATATGCATTAGGGTAGCAGTAAGTACTTGAGTAAGTGACAGGAGGCACATTAGTCTTAAATTGGCAAGCTTTCCGCCTCCACCAGTGACGATATTTTCTTCTATGTACGACTGAACGCTGCGCCGGTTGGTACCTTCCAGCATGTTCTGTTCCATATCTTGCAGACTTTCAAATCTAAAAATCAAAGAATTAATTGATGTTTTAAATTACAATCCAATTGCACTTTAGTTTAGCAATACAGAATTGATTGATTACCTAGCACCGATTGCAGTTATCACTGCTTCACATCCGGCAATGTGCATTGCTAGAGCTCTCTTTCGAGCCATGACTGTCTTTAATTGAGAAGACACATACTGTTTCATTTCATGGAGAGCCATCTTTCTACTTTGATCATACTCATTTGATAGTTGTTTGGCTTTTGCAGATAAAAATGAAAACACATCAGAGAAATGACGATTTTTTATTTGATTGTAAATTTCATCTTCGCTGCTAAGCAAGTGTCTGGAGAAAGCCATTCAGAAAGAAAAAAAGAGGAATATTAAAAAGGTAAAGAGATACAACTTTTTATACAAAAGACACTCTTGGAAGACTTACCCAATAGTTTGCTTTTCATCTGGTTTTGCATCAGACTTTGGAAGTTCTACAACACCACTTCGTATACCAAGAACCTCATCCATTAAGCTTGTGTAAGTGGCCGGAGTCAAAAGTGACGCAGCGTAGTCTACATCTCTATCCACTAGAACAATGCATCCGATGTCTGTCTGAGGTTTATCAGGCTCACCAATTTGGTCCATAAGCACCTGATTGGCACAAAATGGTTGTTAATGCTGGTTTAGTAAGAAAAATGAACAACCATAATTGGTGTCCCCTTACTTCAGTCATCGACTGGACCTGCTTGGCGTATCTTCCTAGCGTCAGGGTCACCTGGGAACGTCCAAGAAGCATCTGCAGGGACCAGAGAGATTTTGCTACTGCAGGAAGAAGTGTCTGATCACCATCCACAAACAGTTGAGGAAATAGTGAAGGTAATTCAAGTGATATGAGGCCCATGTCCAGCTGAATTGGCTCCCATTGATACACATGAATCGTAACTCTTCCCCATAAGCCTTCCTCCTCAAGAAGTTGGTCAATTGCTGCTAATCTGTACAGGCACACAATGAAACTTAACAAATTCGTTTGCCACAGTGAGAAAATCTGATGAGGAAATTAATCAGACACAAAACATACTTTCGTGGAACAACAATAATGTGGTAATCAACATCCTTCCTTTGCTCTGCATTCACTTGGTCACAGACTCTCTTGGCTGATATGAGATCTGACATTATTAAATAGAGCCGTTGATTGTTAACAGAATTTTGACCTGCGTTGGAGTCCAGCTTGAATATCTTATCCACATCGTGTTTTCTGTAACAACGTTCAAAATGAGACCAAGAACAAAATCAACTAAATCTGAGGTCGAGTTGTTTTGAAACATACCTCAAGACTGAAATTCCTGTTATTCTATCAAGTGCTTTCATTAATGGAGCATCGATGATTAGGTCCTTCTTTCCGGGAATTTGATTGAAGATGTTAATCAGCCGCAGCTGGGACAGCTCCCTTAGAGCTGTCAACCTGCCGTCCATCTGCATTTTGAACTCTGGAATGAAATGAAACAGGTTGATTGATGATCTCAAGTGACAGGTGCAGAGCAGGTTACAGAACAAGAGAGCTAAGTCACTTCACTACATACACAAATTAAACCATAAACAGACAATTAAAAAGTAACAGAAGCAACATGACGTCTCCTCCGGCTGAAAAGGTTCTTTTTCAAGCACCTATGTCAAATGTGTCAACTAAAACAATGTTTTAACTATTTATGTTAGAAAAGAAATAAACAAACAACACCTAGCAACAACAAGCAGAAGAGCGTAGTGCAAATAAGATCACGTACTATTCACACTGATTCCGGTGCATAGGTTCCCCGCGCGAGGCTACTGGAGGGAGGGTATGAAAAACAAAACGTTTGGATGACCCGGGGAGGAGGAGGGAAAGCATTGGGGAAAGCCCGCTTGAATTAAGCAAATCGTGATGTAGGATAAATGTGTCGAAAAACTACATGCATTCAATTATGTATACTTGCTTATCAGCAACTTTTATTTCAGCAACAATTATCAGCACACTGGAGGTTGTGCTGCCTCTGAGTCAAAGTAATATGTCTCACCCGGAGCCTCGGGTCGGGCTCAATGGATGGCGGGTCCTGAAATGCCAGCGCCAGCGCAGAGCGATTCCCAACGGTGCTTCTGTCTCTCTCGCACTCACAGAGCCGCCGTCGTGGGTGCGAGAGAGACAGCGACGAGGCACTGATTCTCGGAATCGCTCTGCAGTGTGATTACGCGTATAAACCTCCCCGATCAGGACCGGGGTCTTGGTGGCTTACTTCGTGATGGCGTTCGGGGCGCGGCCCCACTGTGCGACCCCCATGAGTGCGAGAGAGACAGAGCGATGAAAACTACTCGTGGCGTCCGTTGTCGGGCGAGACCGACTGCCTGAAATGATCCAGCTCGCTGGCCTGCGACGCGGTCGGTCGGTCGGCCGATCGGTGCACCGCGGGAACGGAGTCTGGAGTCTGGAGTCGTTTGGCCAATGGGGCGGAGTCTTTAAACGCAAAAGTGACTGGAAAAGGGAAGAAAACGGTTCAACCCTTCGGGAACTCTTCGGGGAAAGTTGGTAATGGGGCAAAAGGCGGAAACGGGGACGAATAAAGGCCGATGAGAAGGGGGAGGGGGATGGGAGGGTAGGCCATTACGTCACCGGAGCTGCTTCCGGCTCCTGGCCGGGCAGAGCGGGGAACAGGCTCTGAGTCCTTCTAGTCCTGGATCGAGTCTTGTCGGATCCAGGGCGATTCTGGGTCGAGCGGGCGGTTTTCTTTTGAAACCGCGCATGTGTGTGCGTGCAAGTGCGCGCGCTTAGCCGACGTGCGTAATGGTGGGAACATAGCGAGGATGGGGCCGGGCTGCGAGTAGCTGCGGGCCGCGGAGTGTGGGGGGCGTGGAGGGGTGTGTGACGTAGTGCCACCCCACCCCCTGTAGGGCCGCCTCCCTGGTCCTCCCTGGTCCTCCCCCCAAAGGGCGTGCCGTGGCGCAGGCTGGCGTGGCGGCTCGGCGGCGTGGCTGGAGGCATGCCTGGCTGTGGTCCAGTCCCTCCCAGTCGCTCCCGGTGAGCGGACCAGTGCGGACGTGTCGCGAGGCCTGGGAAGGCAGAGCAGTCCAAGTGGGGGTTGGGGTGCGCCCTGCCACCCTGCCGGCGGACTCGCCGCCCCGCCGCCCCGCGCCCCGCCGCCCCGCGCCCCGCCGCCCGCGCCCCGCCGCCCCACCGCCGCAGACTCCGGCATGCTCCGTCGCCTACCGAGGCTCTAGCGGCTCCAAGGCGGAGCGCTGCGTGGCCAGGCATGGCGTGGCCAGGCACGGCGTGCCATCTTTAGGATTGCTTTCATCTGTGAAGTGACGACCCGAGACCCCGGCCGCCACAGACGAGACATGTGAGTAGCCCTCTCAAGGACCCAGCGGTCCGGCCCGTCCGTCCGTCCGCCTGTCTGTCTCTCTGTCCACTTGGTGTGCCGTCTAGACGCAAGCGGATTTCCGCAGCGCGCTGTCAGGAAGGGCCGAGTGAACAGTGAACACGTCTCGAATGGGGAATGGGCTTAGAGGCGCAGCCCGGCGCAGCCAAATGGAGGCGGGATGTGGATGAATGGGAATATAACAGGCAATGGCGGCAATGGCATATTGAAGGAAGAGGAAGCGAAGCAGCGCCACTGTAGGCGGCTGTGGACCCAGTGGGCTCTGTGGGCCCTGTGGACCCTGTGGGCCCTCCTGCGGGGCTGGAAAAGCAAGAAAAGCACGGGATTGGGGCGAGGGAACCTCGAGCCTCGGGGGAGGCGGGAAGCGGCAGATTTGAGGGCAGATATAAAGTGAGGCTTACCCGGCAAGAATGGACCGCGGACTACAAGGCAGGGAGAGGCAGGCAAGAGGCAGACAGCGGCAATAGCCTAGGCCAGCCCGCAGCGCACCGCGTCCGTCGTGTTGCCTACCCTGGCTTCGGCGGGCGCTCGCCGCGTCCGTCGTGTTGCCTACCCTGGCTTCGGCGGGCGCTCGCCGCGTCCGTCGTGTTGCCTACCCTGGCTTCGGCGGGCGCTCGCCGCGTCCGTCGTGTTGCCTACCCTGGCTTCGGCGGGCGCTCGCCGCGTCCGTCGTGTTGCCTACCCTGGCTTCGGCGGGCGCTCGCCGCGTCCGTCGTGTTGCCTACCCTGGCTTCGGCGGGCGCTCGGTCTTCGCAACCTCTCCGACTCTGGTGCATCGTGGGGATGCTTGCCTACTTATGTGGCGACACTGCCCGGTGTAACCCGTCCACCCCGCTGGCCAGACCGCAGCCCCAGCGGCCAGTGCAGCGGTTCCCAACCTTGGGGTCGCGACCCCAAATGGGGTCGCGAAAAAATTTCGAGGGGTCGCGGCGAGGTGGCTGGGGTCGCCTGGGGTCGCGGTGTTTTCCCGGCTGGCCCACACGCCGAGCACTGGCTGCTTAAATGCCGCAAAGTTGATCAAAACGGTCACAAATGTCTGTAAAAGATCGTGTTTTGGGCCGACTTTAAGCATCCACTGCGTCTGATCCGAGGCGGTAAATCGTCCTCCCTCAACGGGCAATTGGTCTTTGGACCTTCCTTTTGCATGCCTTTGTTACGGAGTGTGATTATCTGCCTTAGTTTGGAAGCAGTACTGCCGCAAAGTTGGTCTAAACGGTCACAAATGTCTGTAAAAAAATCGTGTTTTGGGCCGACTTTAAGCATCCACTGCGTCTGATCCGAGGCGGTAAATCGTCCTACGTCAACGGGCAATTGGTCTTTAGACCTTACCTTAGCATGCCTTTGTTACGGAGTGCGATTATGTGCCTTAGTTTGGGAACAGTTTTGCCGCAAAGTTGATCAAAACGGTCACAAATGTCTGAAAAATCGTGTTTTGATCAACTTTGTGGCAAAACTGCTCCCAAACTAAGGCAGATAATCGCACTCCGTAACAAAGGCATGCAAAAGGAAGGTCCAAAGACCAATTGCCCGTTGAGGGAGGACGATTTACCGCCTCGGATCAGACGCAGTAGATGCTTAAAGTCGGCCCAAAACACGATTTTTTAAGACATTTGTGACCGTTTTGATCAACTTTGCGGCAATACTGCTCCCAAACTAAGGCAGATAATCGCACTCCATATCAAAGGCATGCTAAAGGAGGGGTCGCGTGGGGTCGCGAAATTTTTCCTGGGGGTCGCGGAAAGTTTTGGCTACAAATTTGGGGTCGCGAACCGCAAAAGGTTGGGAACCGCTGGGCCAGTGGCAAGCCATCGGCAGGGGCCGCGTGAATACTGGATGTCATGCCGGTCGAGTGGATGCATCATCCCGCATCCATTCGTAAAAGACAGCAATCGGCACTGACCCATGCTGACCCGGCGGCCAGGCTGAGGTGGTCACCGGTTGGTGGTACAGAGCGCGGTCGTTATGGCGCGAAGCTACTCGCCCGTCATTTTTTAGAAACCCTTTTCGAAAAGTGGAACATCCGCCACAGTGAGAACGGCTGCCCTTCCTGTTGGCAGTGTGGTTGCGGCTCCAGAGGCAGAGGACGGCACGATCGTCGCATTCCCGCATTCCCTCGCGCTCCGTCCGGGACGGCCGGGACGGCCGGGGCAGTCCGGGACCCCGACTCGAACTCACTCGGAGCGTGGTCTGAATTATTCCGCTTTTTAATGAAAGTGATTTGCTCGGGCAAATCGTTTTCGTATCTGCATCTCATTCCGCGTCCGCTTTTCATACGCCGATTCCGCCAAGTCCGTACTTCGGCACTCCAGCAGGGCCGCCGGTCTTCTGGCCCACTGTGCGCCCTGTCCCGTCCGTCCCGCACTAGTTGCCCCGTTGGCCCTGAGGCTCCGGGGCGGCCCCGTCCAGGTCCAGGTCCAGGTCCAGGGGGCAGGGCGGGCAGGGCGGGCTGGGCCGACCAGGGCGCCGGGTGCGGGTCCGCCTGCGGCACGTGTTTGAAGGGCAAGTAGTTGTGCTCCCCAACTTGAACCGTTAACCCACCGGCGGGGTCAGCACCCGGCCGGGCCGAGGGGCCGCGCCGAGGGGCCGCGCGGGGCCCGGGGCGGAACGCGTCGCAAAGGGGCGGGGCGCGGCAGCGCGGCGGAACGGGGAGGATAAGGACTGACAAATGGCGGGGGGAGATATCGGGGGAAGAAAGGTCCAGGCAGGGGGAGGAGGAGGGGGAGATCGCGGCTGAAGTGAGGGTGGGGGTCAACCGCAACGTGTCTTTATTAGAACAACGACGGCCCCCTAGCGGTGACACCCCGCCCCGCCCCGCCCTCTGCAATCAGAATCGGCCCACCCCACCCCACTCGACCCTCTCACCTTTTTTTGCAGCCTCATCCCCTCCCCTGACAGTTTGGACGAGCCCTTTTTAACGGGCGGCGACATCCGGCCGCCATCCGCTCGCTGCAGCGAAGCGGCGACCGCGGCCACGCGTCACGTGGTTGGTGCACGGCGATCACCACTTTGGCCCGACAGTCATCCGCGCCGTGGCGCCACTGCACTTGCTGTTTTTCCCTTCTCCGCGGTTTTCATTAAAGTCTTTTCTCTTCGTTGTTAGCGCACTTTCCGCCACGCGGATGGCCGTGTTTTGTTTGGCACTCGCTGCTTCACGCTTCCCGCGTCGCGCGCTGCCCCGCCGCGCCGCGACGCTGGTCCGGATCCTCCCCAAGCTCGCCAAGCTGCCTGGGAGTCAACACGAGGGGCGGCGAGGCGGCGGCGAGCTGCTCGTGAGAAACTTTCATCCACCGCCGTCTCGTCTCGTCTCCCCGACGGGGCGTGCCGCGCCGTGCCGCGCCGTGCCGCCCCCTAACCCCGTGGCACGGCGGGGCGGCGTGGCGTCCTCCCGCCATGCTCGGTTAAAAGCAGGCCGGCGGAAAAGGGAAAAAAGAAGAAAAAGGAGGAGAAAATTAGGAAATAAAGGGAAGGAAAACCAGGAAGAGGGAAGCGAGGACGAAGGAGGGCGTGGGCTCGCGACGCCAGTGCTTCCCCTGCAGGGCCCAGCTCTCGGCCCGGCCGGCAGGGCCTGCATTAGTCGTCCTAGCTGGCTACCATCAGCGTAATGGTCTATTCCGTGTGACTAACTCTTTGCTTTCCTTCCAATGTGTGTGGGAGTGAGAGAGAGAGAGAGAGACTGGGTGTTCGAATGGCTTGCTGTTTGTTTGTCCGATCGCTTGTTGTTGTTGTTGGGTACACTCGTAATTGCTGTTGAAGCGCGAAAAACCATTGGCGTCTGAACTGACCTCGCGGAACAACAACAACTTCTCGACCCACGCCGCTCCGCAGTCCGCAGTCCCTCCCTTTTCTTCTTTCATCTCCCTTCATCCGAGCTCTGCGTGGCTCTGCCTCTCTCTCTGTCTCTCTCTCTTTCCTTCCCCACCCGGCGAAACTACACTAACATCACTTTTATTTTAAACCTGTTCAAAAACCCCATGGTGGAAGGAATTTTCTTTTCGGCGAGTAAACGCTCTGTCACGAGCCGAGGCGGCGTTGATATCTTGATGAAGCGGACTGAGCAGCCTTTGATAAACTGAGCGACATCGGGACCATTTTGATGAATAGGGCGTCAGGCTGACAGTGCCGCGAGCCGCGAGCCCGGGGACTGGCTGGCCCGAGGGGGCGCGCACAGTGGGCCAGAAGACTGGTGGAGGCGGCCAAAACTCTAGACGCATTTTGAGCTCCGGAGTCGCTATACAGGACTAGAACCGAACGTGTGAACCTACCGATGGATTCCTCGTTCGGAGTGCAATCCATTGGTGGGGCCACACGTTCGGTTCGAGTCCCATTTAGCGACTCTGGAGCTCAAAACGCGTCTAGAGTTTAGGTCGCCTCCACCGGTTTTCTGGCCCACTATACCTCGCCTCGGTCTGATCGAAGTTGCCCCAACTTTTCCTTGACGTTTTCGGCCGCCGATGAGCGGTGCGGCGCGGCGGCGCGCAGGACGCGCCTCTCCTGTGAACAGGTACAATCAAGTTAGAAACAAGTTGGACGCCGCCCTACTTCTTGTACCGGCAAGCCTCGCGGAGAGGGACGCAATAGTGCGGCCATAGCTTCTTTGGCTGTTTTGGAAAGCCCAGGCGCGGCGACAACGTGCTCAAACTCCCGAAAAAAAAGAGAAGAAAGATTTACCTTATGCGTTTATCACTTTGCCGAAACTTTTTTTTTTTCGTGTTGGCAAGTTTGCGTTGAAATTCTCCTCGCTGTGGCGTAACCGGATTGCGGTGGCCACGGCGTTGTTGGCCGAGTCTTATGGTCCAAACTGGTGGCAAACAAGAAGGGGCGCGAGGGGGAGGGGGAGGGGGAGGGGCGCAGGGCAGAAGCGCATCACTGACCACATTCAGACGCGGGCCCGGGCCCGCTTTGTTCGCCAACAGCCAGCAGGCCGATTCCAAGCCGGGCTTCCCGTCGCTCTGTCTCTCTCG